GGAAGGCTGAGTCAACCTTGAGTCCCATCAGGATTGAACTCTTGGCAGTGGGCAGAATTAGCCTGCAATACTGCATTCTCACCACTGAGCCAACACAGCTCCATGTGTAGACAAAAGAACATTCAAAACATTCGTTAAAAACAAAATTGGCAAACATAGTTGATATACAAGAGATAAAAAACAAAGTTTTTCGGAAACAAAAGGTCTGGCTAAATAAGTTTGGAATACCATCTTTAATCTGTAAATTTTAAAATATACAGGGGCAAAAATGAAATGTCTTAAATTACAAGGAATCACAGTTTTTGCTGAAATAATGGTTAAATATGTGTATTCTAAGAATGGGAGTTTGTGATTAGGATGTATATTATTATTAGGATATATCAAAAGGTGATGTTTATTTTTTTATTTGTTTATTGCTTTATTTATCTATCTAGTTTGTGAACTCAGCCATAGAGACTTGAAATGCTGAGCCAGGTTTTATGTATGAAGTTTGAATACAATGTAGATTTATTCCATAAATAGTAGTTATATTATTATGTGGTATACTGTGTAGACTGGTTTTAAGAGGTCCAAAATGTAGATCTTTTGCAAGTGAAAGTTAATTGAATATCTGTTTTTTTTTTTGGCTGTTTTGTTATAGACATGAATATATCAGTGGATACTATCGAATTTCTGCATACTTCTTCTCAAAACTAATGGCTGATTTAATACCCATGAGGACTTTACCCAGCATAATTCTCACCTGCATAGTTTATTTCATGTTAGGTAAGTTTATTGTTTTTTTGTCTATCTGGAAAAATATATCTGCAAACAAATCTTTCGTGTATAAATGTTATAAAACTAAACTATAAAACTATAAGGTAAAAGGTAAAGGTTCCCCAAGCACATATGTGCTAGTCGTTCCCAGCTCTAGGGGCGGTGCTCACCTCTGTTTCTAAGCCAAAGAGAGTGTGGTCATGTGATCAGCATGACTAAACGCCGAAGGTGCACAGAATGCTGTTCCCTTCCCACCAAAGTGGTCCCTATTTTTCTACTTGCATTTTTACATGTTTTCGAACTGCTAGGTTGGCAGAAGCTGGGACAAGTTACGGGAGCTCACTCCGTTATGCAGTGCTAGGGATTCGAACTGCCAAACTGCTGACCTTTCTGATCGACAAGCTCAGCGTCTTAGCCACTGAGCCAGGGGTGGGTTGCTCCTGGTTCGGCCTGATTCGGTAGTGGTATTTTGGCCTGGGTCGCAGAACCAGCAGCGACCCAGGCTGGCCACGCCCCTGAACTGATTCCCTAGTCGCCGCTGCCAGTTGTTGTTTAGTAGTGTGCGCGCATGCGCAGTTCATTGTAAATTGTTCTGTGCATGCGCAAAAAACAATTTACATTGAACTGTGCATGGGCACATGAAACGAACCAGTAGTAAAACCAGGAGCAACCCACCTCTGCACTGATCCACTGTATCCTAACACCGCATCCCTAACTATAGGCGTTATAAAAACTAAAAGGGATCTTTATGCAAATCAGAATGAATTATGTAACAAAAAAATATCTAATCCTCAGGGTAAAATAGTGTTTGACAATATGATATTCCAATCCTGCTTTTCTTGTTCTCTAGGCCTGAAACCCACTGTAGAGGCTTTCTTTATAATGATGTTTACTCTGATGATGGTGTCATTCACTGCAACCTCGATGGCACTTGCTATTGCTACAGGACACGATGTGGTGGCTGTCGCCAATCTTCTGATGACTATCAGCTTTGTTTTTATGATTGTGAGTACCTGGAACGGATGTCTCATTAAGGCTACTTTGTCCAACTTCAGAGGTTCTGACCCAGCTCCCCAAACATGAGAAACCCTCTGAAGTGAACGCAAAGATTCTTTTAATTAGGAGTGCTGGCAGCTCCGGCAAAAAGTTACTCAACACAGACTAATGTCCATCCAGGTAGAAGATGAATAGTTGTCGGCCACATCTATTCATCTCTGCCCCCTGCCTTTTATCTCCAGAGGGTGGGGCTGCATCAGCAGTGGTGGCTCATCCTTCCCACTCACAGATTTCCACTGCTCTCCTCTCCTCTGCAGTCTGTGCATTCCGCGCATCAGGCACTAGAGGAACCAGCTGTTCCTCTTCTGCTTAATCAGCCACCCCCAGATCTGGGCGCTGTTGACTCTCCATCTGAGGGCTGACAGACGGCCCAAGTTCCACTCTGTCTCTCTGTCTCTCTCTGTCTCTCTGTCTCTCTCTGTCTCTC